GCAGGGAGCCCGATGTGGGGCTCGATCCCAGGACCCTGGGATCATGACCTGAGCCGAAGGCAGACGCTTAACGACTGAGCCACGCAGGCACCCCTTTGTTGTTGTTCTTTAGTTTTGCCACAGATATTTCTATTTGTATACAGTGTTTTTGCATGTCTTCAAACAAAATCTTTACAGATGTGCATACCTACATACATGTTCTATCTATGCATTTTTCACTCAACACTATGTTCTAAGAGATGTCTCTGTTGATGTATGTAGCTGTACTTCATTTTCCTACTTGAGAGTATTTTACTGAATTTCTCTGCCCCCTGCCCCCCCTCCCCCATTCTATCATTAGTGGAGCTTTGGATTATTTCTTCTTCTGGTCTTACAAGTAGGACTCCAGTGAATACACCTTTACCAGCCTTTTCTGGCTTATTTCATTCTGTTCAATTTAAACCTTCATTAGCTGTTACTGTCAAACCTGCTATGAAGAGTTTGTGAACGACCTTTCCTTGTTGTGTTCTCCCCTTCCTGTCCTACTAGTAATCATTTGAACAGCATGGTGAGTTAACATAATTATATTTTTTCACTCTCAATTGTAGATCAAGAAGCTATTCTAGAAGTCGGAGCAGAGGATGGTACAGCAGAGGCCGCACAAGAAGCCGGAGCAGTTCCTACCGCAGTTACAAAAGTCATAGGTGCGTGTGGGATCCCCACCCTGCCACGTGGTCTTCATCCTGTCTGCTTTTCAAGGCCTGCACAGGCGGAGTGGGGGAGCTTTTGAGAAGAATCCTGTCATTGCTGAATACCAGCAGTCAGTGCCTTCACCTCAGTCTAGTTGTTTCTTTCTAGGAACTGTCAGATTCTCACTGGCTATCCTCAGGATGTGATCTTATCAGAGTGAGGAAAGAGAAGCAGTAGAAATCTTTTAAAAAGGCCCTGCCCACTATCTCCCCACCCCCGACCTCCAGTATATCTTCCTTGACCTCAGTTCACATCTGCAGTCACCTCTTGGCTTGGGTTAGGGATTGGGATAGGAGGACTGATTGGTTAGTAGGGGGCCACGGGATGGAGCATGTGGGGGGGTGACCCCAGGTTTGTATTTCTCCCAGCTTCATCAAACCCTCTTTTGCCTCTGAGGTATTTTCCACTGCTGCTTCATCTTACCTGCAGGTATCTGACCTGTGCAGACTTCCCCTCCCCACCCAGTTAGAACCTCGCCAGTGACTTTGCTCTGTGCACCTCATAGAAGAACAAAAGTTAATCAGAATGAAATCCAACATGCTTTTAAAAAATCCAACATATTTTTGATAAAGAAATGAAATAAATACACCTACTGGATTTCATTGTGTTTTTTCCTTGATGGGCAAATAAAAGTCTAGATTTTTGATATAACCTGTCCTGAGCCACAAAATGATGGTCCCTCATGTGATTCCTATTAGGACATCCAGCAGGAGCAGATCCAGGAGCAGCTCGTACGACCCCCATAGTCGGTCCAGGTACGGACAGGGGGTGGGAACCACCTGTGGGGGCAGAATTGAAAGGCCTTGTTTTAAAAACCCTTCATTCCCTTTTAAAAAGTGTTGTAGTCTATTGAAAAATTTAAACACATGTATTTGTCTCATGAAATCATCTCCCATCTACGTGAGGTTTTTTTGACAGCTTTTATCTGTTGGCCCATTGTACTCTGGGGTCAGAGTGACAATTGATGTCCAGTTGTAATGGCAGGTATTTATTGACTATAATTGCCGAAGATCCACCAGATTCAGTCAGACTAAGTCAGTGTTAACTTTGTGATATTTTTCAATGCAGAAAAGAAATGAACATTTTTCTGTTTCATGCGGTAAGTCTCACTGGGGCACTTGTTAAACGTCTCCAGTAGTTGCTGTGCACATGTGTCCTCACACAGTCATAGAGTGCCCATGTCCTCAGAGAACACTGAAGAGACCGTAAGAAGAAACGGAAGCCTGTGAGTGTTGGAGTGGGGATTAAGTGTGTGTGGTTGCCGTTGGAGCAGGTCCTGCACTTACGATAGCTACTACAGCACGAGTCGGAGTCGCAGCAGAAGCCAGAGGAGTGACAGTTACCGCCGAGGCAGAAGGTACAGCAGGCGATCCAGGTGCGTCTCCCTCCTTCAGGTCACTGCAAGGTACTGTGGGCACTTGGTGTGGGAGGTGACACACGGCTCATAGAAGAGAAAGTGTAATCTTCCGAGGTCAGAAATATTTCTTCCTCTTGAGTTTCAGCAACCCACAGGCATCTCCTAGAGGTGGCTTTTGTATTAAGGGTTGCTGGGTCAGGTTTGTTGGTTATTGTTCATGTTTGAATCTAAAATGGATTCCGTAATATTTACATACCCTTGGACAAAGAGTTTCTTTGGAAGGAGTAAAGAGAGAAGGCCACCCAGACCAAGCCCCACTCCTTTAAATAGGGCTACTTGCTAAAAATAGCAAAACCAATTTATTAGTTTTTTAAATTAAAAAAAAAAAGTATACTAAAATGTCATCATTTGCTTTAACAGCAGGGTTGAGGTTTATATCATCAGTTTTAGTAAAAATACATTTTTATGTATTACAGATATTTATAGATATTACATTTTATATAACCTATTTGGGCTGGTACTGCCAAAGTCTTAATGGCGACTTTTTGTAATGTCCCTTTCCTTGTCGCTTTTGGTCTTACCCTCCCCCATCCGTTGCAGCTACAGTCAGTGATCCTTGTCTAATATCAGTGTGATCTAGACACCTCCCTTGTTTGAAACTCGTGAAGGGCTTCCTACTGCCCAGAGGGGCAGGTACAGCCTCTTTAGCATCCCATGTAAGGCCTCTCCGCCTACCAACTCCAGCTGGGGCTTTTCTCTCTTCCCTCCTTTAATGTGCTAGAACCTGTCCTTCTGCTTGGAGATACACACACCTCTTGAAATGGCCAATTCCCACCTACCTACCCTGTAGGTCTCAGCTGCAACCCGCTGCCCCAGGGGGCCATCCTGACTGATAACCCTGAGTTATACCACCCCCGCCTCCCCGCAGTGTGCCCTGTTTGCCTTGTCCACTATTCTGTGTGGTCCTTGAGTCCCAGGAAGCTATACTTGGTCTACTGTGTATGTCCCTAGCATCTAGCAAAGTGACTGGCTCCCTGAATATTTTTCAAAATAACTGGTGACCATTGCCAGGTCCTCTTGACGCAGTGTCCCAGTGGTCCTGTCCATGTCTTCCCCACCTTCACCCCTCATGGGATCCCCATTTTGGTTTCCATATTTTTAATGAAACTCTTCATGTACCTTTTTTTATCCCTTGCTTCCTCGGTCTAATTAAATATTGATGTTCATTTTGGGTAACATGGAAAATTATTCTGCTCATTTGCATGAGTGGATTTCAAGTAATTTCCCAAGATGCGATGTTTCTTTATCTTAATCTTGATATTACTGCCATGTGTCATTTAAAACATCTTTGAAAAGTCTACACTGTTGCCACCATCAGGACCCCACTCGTCCACCCACTGTGCTATGCCACATCAGTATTGCTTTCAAGCCACTCGTATCAAAAAAGAAGCTTCAAGAGGAATTCAGAGGGTTGAAGTTAAAAGGTGTCTGTATATTTCTTTTGTTACACAGGAGTTGTAGATCTTACGGCTCTGACAGTGAAAGTGACCGAAGTTACTCTCATCACCGGAGCCCCAGTGAAAGCAGCACATATAGTTGAAAATGTCTCCTTTTTTGATACAAATTATATCTTATTTGTAAATATCTGGTAACTTAAAAATGTAAGAAACTTAATGGCAGTCTGTTGTTCTATTTCAACATTAGAAATAAGTTTCGAAAATAGGCACTTCTTAATTGTTATTGTCCATTTACATGTGCACAGAATTTAAAATACAGATATGTCTCCTAAAAATATTTTTATGCCACATTTTACAGTAGCCAACTTTGGGAATGAATTTCATTTTCTTGAATCAAGAAATCATGAAATTTAAGTATAATTTGCAGTATTATTTTAGACAGATTACTTCTTTCCATCTCATGTATTCCTTAGAATACAGATTCTTTTTGCCCGTTTTTCAGGTTTTAGCGTATATGCTGCCAAGCCCAGAACTGTGAAGAACTGCTAAAGGTGGCCAAATATTTATATACCAGTTACACCGTCTTATGCATATGTGCTCTTAGAAACAAACCACCCAGAATCGATACTGATGGTAGCCAGGAGTCTTAAGGCAGTGGCTCTGGAGTTCTTAACTCATTCCTTCCTTCTTGGTGGTCTCAGAGGGTCAGGAAAGTGGTCATCATACAGCCCACCGTCTGTATTACTCCAGGCTGGCGGGTGAGGTTGGGAAGAATAAATCAGCCTTAACTATAAATACCTGCACTGTCTCCAAGGCCCTAATGTTTTATGTGCTTTTTAATAAATACTATCAGAAGTTTAGATTGTAAAAAACAATTCTGTTCCGGTTCATCTTTGGGTGCTCGGTACCTTTTGGTGCCTCTTCAAGTATACTTTACATTAGAATCTCACAGGAGAGAGAGAAGTGTTTTTTTTGTTTTGTTTTTTTTTTTAATTCGCTGGCACCAGGCATGGTTCCTTCTGGGCTACATTCACTTTAAGTATCTGGAGGGTTTCTCTCAAGCTCAGGTGTGGCTTGGGGCCCCCTGGAGCAGGCAGGATTGGCACAGAGGGTCGCGTGGCCCCTCGGGCTTGCTGCACAGAACTGGCACGCGTGCCTCCGGGAGAGCGGATTGAAGAGTAGAATCCAGGGTACCGCCAGACCTCACTGTCACATCCCGGGGACATTTTGGAGGGCTTTCCAGTCTTTCAGGTTAAGGGAGCTCTACCACAACAGCGGCTGAGCTGTTCTAAGCACCAGCACGTTTGTCTTCTTTCCGCTGTGACTCACTCTGACTCCGTGAAGCTCACACGACATGATAAGTCCAGGGGAAGAGGGGTGTACAGGACTGCACAAATCACACTTTTTCAGTTTCAGGTGGTTCCTCCAAAAATGGTTTGACCTGTAAAAACTGGTGTTTTTTGGTTTTGGGGTTTTTTTAATCTTTGAGTTTTTTCCCCCAAGTGTACTTAATCACCTTAGTGCCAGTTTAAGCCAGTTGTACAGAAGAAATTCATATTGGATGTTTGATGTGGGACTCTGCTCCACCCTCCCCAGGCCTTGCTTGGGGTACTTGGGAAGTGGGAAAGAGCCCTCAGTTGGAGGGATCTGACAACCTTGATGGGTGGAGGGGTGACCTTGGATATATTAAAACCATCACCCATAAAAGGTTCATAAACAGGGTTAAATGGTCAGCTGTTTGCCAGGTTGATAGACGAGAGTGCATTAGGAAAACAGGACCCAAGTCAAACAGACGTACTTCCTAGTGAGTACAGAACAATGCATGATTCATGTGAAGGGTTTTCAAGTTGCCTGTAACACTCGGTGAAAAAAACCCTACATTCAGAACTCAGACAGAAACTGCCAAATCTAATTAGGTTAAGAAAAGTTACCCTTGGACAATGTATTCGTTTTCTACTGCTATGTAACAAACTACCCCACACTTAGCAGCTTAAAACAACACCCATTTCTTAGCTCACAGTTCTGTAGCTTGTGAGTCTGGCACAGTATGGCTGGATTCTCTGCTCAGGGTCTCAACAAGGCTGAAATCAAGGGTCAGCAGGGCAGCATCCTTTTATGGAGGCTCTAGGGAAGCATCTACTTCCAAGTTCATTTGGTTCCTTGCTGGTTGTCAGCCGGAGGCTTCTCCCTCAGCTCCTGAAGGCTGCTCGCATTCCTTCTTGCGCGTTCCCCTCCATCTTCAAACCCTCAGTGGCCTTCCCATCCCTCTGCCTTCCTCCTTCATTTTTGAGGTTCGTGTGATTAGATCAAGCCAACTGATCAAGTCTCCCTATTTTTAGGTCGGCTCTGCCGTAGAACATAGCATAATCACAGGAGTGACTGCACAGGCGCAGGCTCGGATCGGGGCACAAAGCGAGGGGTGCGGGTGGGGCGGGCCGTCCTAGAACCCTGCCTACCCCAGACAATAACTGCCCACTGCTGGCGCGGGGTGGGGGGGGACTGTCATCCAAAAAAAGGTGGGCCCTGGAAGCCTCGATTGTTTCCTCCATGGAAAAGAACAGCCCTCAGCCGCAGCATTCAATTGTGTTTACTGAATGAACTACAGAAATAGCTTTTCTGCCTAGAGGGGATTGTTCTGTATTTTAAGTTATTTTTTAATAAAATTTAATTATGTTGTGTATTGTGCTTCTTAATAGAAAATGTATTGGACTGTTTTTGTAACGTCTTGTTTACTGCAAATGAAACATGATATAGCTGGTATTGTTCAAACCTGTAGAAAATACTTTTGTACATATTGGCAATGTCTAATTTGTATACACTTCATTTAAATGTTCCTAAAACTTGAAAGGGGGACCTTGTAGAAATTAAAATATATACTTAGTCTAAATCTGTGCCTATTTCATCTTTCTTTACTCATCCAGACTTCAGATCTTTCTGAAATGGAAAAAGGAACCATTGCGTCCCTTTGCTGACCCAGCCAGTAAAGAGACGTCATTTCGGCAGCTCATTTTCATCCTGTCGCTAAGTGTTAGTGGTGGGGCATGAGGTGGATCTGGAGGGAACCTCAGGCAGAGATCAAGATGTTCACCTCCCCAGGGAAGCACTGATGGTGCTTGGTCTCTCTTCCCTTGCAAACTCCGGATTTCCTCCCGGCTTTGTCGTCACTCCGCGGAGGTGACCTGCATACAGATGTCTCTGCCGAGGAAGGAGTAGGTCTCGTCTATCTGGAAGCTGCTGCCTAGGGACAGCGCACTTACCAGCTGTACCACCGACAGCCCCACACTTCCCTCCCTGACATTCACTGGGCACATATCACTCGCTCCTAGAGAGAACGTTCTTGGTGATATTTTTAGTGTCCACATGAGAATTTGCAGGGCAAGTACAATTAACTTTGTTCTCCTCAGAACTCAGAGGAATTTTTGTTTTCTTTGTGAATACAACATAACCTCTCTCAGACTTGCAGAGATTCAGTTTTCAGAATTAACGGTAGACCCTCAAGTCAGAATCCCTGACAATAGTCAGATCTAGATGCACTAAAATTTAAAGAAAATTACAGCCTTTTTGCTGTAGGGAACTCCCCAAGTGAGGTTCCTTTTTAGTGAGCTCCAGCATTTTGTTCACATTCTGATAATGATCGCTTTGATCAGCTGGGCAGTACTGGAGGGAAATGTGTCAAGGACTTTGGTCTTGGCTGTTCTGAATTAGCTGGGCATTAAATAAGAGCTAAGAGAATTCAAGAAAAATGCCCCTATCACAAGTGACCATGAAAGCTGGCTTGGCATCACTGTTGGGAAGGGAGAGGAAGCTGTAGTTGGCGTAGAGAGAAACTTGCCATGCTAGTGATGTAAATTAGCTGGCCAGGTGAGGCCTGGAAGCCACGCCTCACACGCTGGAAGAGCCTGGACTCGAGGGCTGGTTTCTAGAAAGAAGTCCCAGGAGGGACTTGTGATAGAATGAGTTGGGACGCAAGCTGAGAGGAATCCTGCTGGGCAGGAAGAAGTCCTTGGATGCTCTAGAGGCGGCAGGCAGCCTCAGGCGTCGGAGAGATCAGGGGTAGGCGTGGGGTATCCTGGAAGAACAGGGCACCTGCTTGTCTCGGGACAGACCCTGGGCAGCTCTAGTCAGTGGCCGATGTGTGTGCGAGGCAGGGGCAGCTCACTGCCATGACACAAAGGGGCAGGAGGCTTTAGTGGTCCGCTTAAAGGTTTCGGTAGAGGGTAGAGGCAGTGCTCCCTTGCCCCTTTCCCCTCTCCTCCCTATGAATCACCAGGCCACTTTGGGGCTGTGCCAAGCTTGAGGCCAAGTACTTCTGCCTCTTGGAGACCCTGGGTCCACCATTCACAGCTCCACGGGCTAGCCTGAGGACTGTTTGGTCTCAACCGGCCTAGAGCCCTGAGAAAATCGGTAAAAAGGGAGTGACCTGGGGCTGCAACAGAGACACCTGCATTCTGCATCTGGAGGCCTGACCCTGAGCCTCTGACTGCTCATGTGTACTAAGAGGACTTGGACTGCCCGTTGCTTGGCTCACAAACCCTGAAAGAGGGTGTGAACACCTGGCGCAATTGGACATGGAAATCGGTGGTGCCCACCCCTTCCCAGGCTTGCCTGGAGAGGAGTTGGCCTCCCAGAGGGCCTACAGGGGGCGGAGGCATGGTTACCCAGGTCCTCCTGCGACCAGCATCTCTACCGGCAGGCCAGGTTCCCAGAGAAAGGCTGAGAAGGACCCCGCTAATCTCAATGCCTCTGGCCTAATTTGATTTTATTTTGAATTAAGGACTTCTATGAGCAATTCTATGGTACAGTCCTTAAGGGATTTGAGCCAGAGCCATACTGCCTGGGTTCAAGTTCTACTCTGTCAGTTCTTAGTTTGGGTAACTAGATAAATTGTTTGACCTTTATAATTCAGCTCCTCATCTGAAAATCTGGGATACCAAGGCCTCCCTCTCAGAAGTAGTGAGAATTAAATGCTTAGAACCAAGCACACATCAAAGCTCCAGGGATGCTGGCCCCTGGGATTGCCTCCAGGAGGAGGGTAGGAGCCCATAGGTTTCATGTGGAGGGCCAGGCTCAAACACAAATGAAAAGCCCAGGGTCCCTTGAACCAAAAGGGTGGGAGAGGACCCTGGAAGCTTCTGGTGAGGCCTCGAATGCCAAGGCTGTGACGTTTACACAGCAGGAGGGAACTGGGCAACCTGCTGGTTTGAATTAGGCCCACACCCCCCCGCAGCTGTAGCCTATTAGTGTGGTGCTCAGTGGTGGCGGGACACAGGAGCAACACCCCCACTCCACACCCAGAGCTCTATGTTCCCCAACCCTGCAGGGCCCTGGGTCAGCCCCTAGCGGGTAGCTTGAACCCTACCATCCCACTGACTTCAGGCTGTGGTGTTCCCTTCCGTTCTCTGGCACTGTCCGCTCTGCTGTCCTCCTGTCTCTGCTACAGCAGCTAGACCAGGCTCCTAACCGCCTAGGGAGGCCGAGGCCTGCACTCGCGCTCGGGCTCGCGCGCGCACACCTCCCTGGGCTGTTTGTTCTTTCCAGGCTCAGTAGGGGAGAGTCCGGTGTCCCCAAGCAAGCCTGGGAACTGCCCTAGCACAGCTTGGGTCTGTTTCTCCTCCTTGACACGGGAGAGAAACGGGGCTGATGCTTCAGGAAGTTGTGAGAATACCTATGAGCTGACCTCTCAAGGCAGGGCCATGGCTTTGCTGAGCTTGCCAGCACCTAGCCCCACGTATCGGAAGGATCATCCAGCTCTGCACCTGTCTCCACAAACTCCTGGATTACCCATGGGGCCTGGGATTCTGGCTTGGGATCCTCCTCCCTAATAACCCAGTCCTACCCTAACCCCTCCAGAAAGCCTGCCTTGACCGACCTTGAAGTGAAGCGCCCAGGGCAGGGCCCTCTCCAAAGCCAAGCAATTTTGAGCAATTTTGCCACCCCTATCCAGCCCCTCACTCCCACCTGACTAGAACCTTGACTCTACCACATCAAATCGCCTCTAGTTCCCTGCAGATGCTCTCCTGTCTCCCCTCTCCTGGCCCTTGCAGGTGCCATTCTCTGCCTGGAGTACCCCTCTTCTCCCTCTGCTCTAGTTAATGTTAACTCAACTTTCAGGCCTCAGCTGTGAGCTTTGAGCCCACCATACTGGGCTCTTCAAACAGCCCCGTCCTGCCTGGTGTGATGTGACCCAAGTGCCAGTAGCCTCTCCCAGAGCGGTCTCTGTCCCCGGGCTCCCCTAGTAGATGGGCTAGAGACCAGAGAAGCAAGTGGGGGAACAGCTGTGCTCTTCAGGGAGACAGACCCCTATTCCCTCTTTTCTCAGCCGTCAACCTCCAGCCCCTCCTTGGCTTGACTGCTGCAGCCAAGGCCAATCCCAAGGAGGCCAGTAGCCCTACCTTGGTTACTTAACGCTGGCCACACCCCCTTGCCAAGTCTTGGCTGGAAGTGGGCCCAGGAGTGTCCCGTGCAGTCCTCTCTGCCAGGCTCCTCCTAGCCCTCGGTGGGGGGGCACCCTCTCCCAACCTCTCCTTTCCCCAGCTCCTGACACTGGTGCCTGGCTGCTTGATTTGTCCTGCTCCAGGCCTCACTGTGTCCAACTAATGGGTACGCAATCCTTCCCTCGCCACCTCCCAGCTCACTGCAAGGATCCACTGAGTCAGATGAGGTGGGTTGGAACGGAGGACGAGGCAGAAAGCAGCACTAAGGTGACCCGCTGGTCAGGCATGCTGGCCACTCTGGCCTGGCCTCAGCCTGAGGCCTCCAGGAGCTGCACCGGCTGTCTGTGTGCACTCACCACGGCCACGGAGGTGCAGGATGGCAGGATGTCTGCAGTGGCCGCCTCTGGGGGCATGTCCCCAGCTGCGCCCCCACTCTCCTCCCATGCCCTTATCCACCAGGGGCTCTCCCCACGCCCCATCTAGCTCTGCGTATTCCTCCCCTTCGTCTTGGCACTCTTTTGGTCACCGCCATCTGTGCCCCTGAGATGTCTTCTCCCTGGCCCCGGGGGTCAGGAGGCCCTTGCCGTCTTACAGGACAGACCACCAGACTTTCTGATGGCGCCTCCCTGGGATCTTCACCTCTGCTCCATTTCCTCCCCTGACACCCAGAACCAAGTCACTCTGAGCAGGCCCCAGAGCCCCTGCCCTCTCATGAGGAAGGTGGCATCCCCAGGGGCGGGGGCTGCAGTGTAAGCACAAGGGCCCACGTGTGGGGAGGGGTGCGAGGACCCCGGGGATGAGGGCACTATCAGAGGGAGCGAGGATGGGGCAGAGGCCAGCTTGGGGTGGGGGTGGGGGCGCAGGAGGGCATCGGAATGCTGACATGGGCCCCATGAGAGGCCCACGGAGGCCCGCTCTCCACGCTGCTGCCCGCTCAGCCCTTGCAGCCTCCTGGCAGCCTGGCTAGCCCCCTGCCCCCACCGGTGCCCAGGCCAGAGCAGCATTCCGCAGGCCCGGCGGCCTCTCCCCAGCAGTGGCCCGGTCAGCCGGCTGAGGGGCACGGTGCAGCCCGGGCCTCTGGCCCCCCACTCCTCTCCTCTTGCCTGTTCCAGGGCCTGGGCCGGTCACCGTAAAGGCCTGGTCGCTGCAGCTGTGGTCTGGGTTCTGGTACCTCCTGCCCTGGGGCGGGCGTGAGCAGTCAGAGGAGGCCACCAGGTAGGTGTGGGTCACCCAGCACGGAGCAAAATGAGCCCTGGGCTGTCCTGGGGTAGGCCGGCGCGGGCTAGCCGGAGATCCCAGAGTCACCCTCAGGTCAGAGCAGCCCAGGCCAGAGGGTGGGGATGCTGAGCGAGGCTAGGGTCCGGGGGTTCGGTGTCTCAAGGGAGCGGGTGGAAGGCTTTCTGCAGCTGGTTGGGGAGTGGGCGCGCCCAGCTTCCCTATTTCAGGGCCGCCTCCTACTCCGACCCCGCCTCTGTGGCGCAGCTGGAAGGCACCGAGATTAGACTCTGGGACGAACTTCCCGGCAGAACGGGGGCTCGGCGCGGGACAGTGAGGCCGGGGCCCATCCGCTGGAATGGGAGCGGTGGGGCCTGGCTGGGGGCCCCGGCGGCCCGAGGCAGAGCAGGCTGCACTGGGACCGCGCACACCACGCGTGTCCGCGCCCCCCGCCGGCACACAGGGCGGCCTGGCCCTTTAAGCGTCCAGACGGCGGCCCCAGCTGACGCGCGG